TAGAAAACAGAAGCATCGGGGCCTTAACAGGAAAACGCTTCGTTACAATTGGCGCCCGAGCAGGGACACTGCAAATAGTACAATACGAGGAGAACATTTCGAAGCCAATAATTAAACCAGCCATGACAGAACCAGTGAGCATAGCGTGGCTGGACAGCGTATCCAAGGAACAGTTGGTGTCCATCACACAAGAACTGGGCATCGAACACACAGGCACCACTCGAGAGATAAGGAAACGGATAGCGGCATGGGCCGCCAAAGCACTCATCGATCCGGAACTTCACGCAAAATTTCTCGCGATGGAAGCAGCATACAACGAACAGGAGGCCCACTGGAGAAACGAAAGCGAACCAAAGACACCGTTAACCGTGAATCAAGGCGAAACAACCGCTAATGTGCCCGTTAGGCCGCCAACGCAGAGCCAGTTCGCATATCCACCACCAAGTCTACAACCGCCATCGCAACACCCGCCAACGACATCCATCGCACCAAATGCTGACGTGCTAAACAACGGCAACCATGTGCCGACCGTTACCTTTGCGCCCATCATCGACCAGGTACGCAAGTGGTCGGTGAAGTACGATGGAGGACGCGACCCGTTGGCGTTTGCAGAACGATTGGAGGAGTTAGCCGACGTCTACGCATTAAACGTAGACCTGTTACCAAAGACGATGCCTGAATTGCTAAGCGGCACCGCCCTCCAGTGGTACCGCAACAACAACGAACACTGGAGCACCTGGCACTCATTCAAACGTGATTTCCTGAACTTTTTTCTGCCGGCCCAGTATTTTGAGCGTTTGGAAGACGACATCAGGCAACGGAGGCAGCGCCCGCGAGAAAAATTTAAGGATTACGTGATCGCAATCCAGAACCTGATGCGACGTGCAGCCTACAGCAACGAACAACGGTTGGAGAGAATCTTCCGCAATAGTCACGCCGATTACTTACTGTACATTAAACGGCGGGATTTTAACACCTTGCCGGAGCTCCTAGCGCTCGCGGAAGAGTACGAAGGCATACAAGAAAGTCGTCGACGTGCCCCAGAAGTATCACGGCATGAAGTAGCGAGGCACGTTGGTGACGACACCATTATGTCACCATCCCCACCGAGACAGGCATTTCAGCAACGACCGCCACCACGCAGGGAACAGCATCATCGAGAGGCATCGTATAATAACGCCGCGAGGACCCCACCCCCTTCGAGAGCCACAATTCAAACTGATCATAGCGGCAACACATGCAGGAGGTGTGGCCAAGAGGGACACTACGCCCGAAGGTGCCGTAACCCACAGAAGCTGTTCTGTTGGGAGTGTGGCCGGGCCGACATCCGGACAATAGAGTGCTGCCGGAGGCGTCCGGGAAACGAGAGAGGGCTTCAGCAGAGGACCGGCGCGATGAAGCTCCCGAGTACAGCGCCGGACAACCAATAATTTTGAGCCAGGAACGCGGCCGCCTCTACGCCCTAATCTCGTTGGGTGGAGCGCCCGCGGAAGCCGTCATCGACACAGGAGCCTCGAGAAGCTTCGTGTCCGCCAGCGTGGCGGAGCAATTGGTTAGCTTGGGGAGAGGCAAAAAGATAACTGTGGCCATAGGAATCCTTATGGCCGATGGTACCAGTAACCAAATATCCGAGGCCGTGAGGACCGTAATCCGCCTCGGGCAAACGATCCACAACGCCGTTCTGTATGTCATGCCTGGAGCAATTGACGACATCATTTTGGGCCTAGACACATTAGGGGGAATGGGAGCTACGGTGTCCTGCGGCGGGCACCGCGTCGTATTGACGGAACCACCTATACACCCCACGTCGGCGACACCCAGCGAGCCAACACCAAGCACCGAGAACCCCGAACCACCCGCCACGACGAACCATAGCCCACCAAGGAGCAGAAAAGGGAGCCGCCATACAAGGCGACGGTCCGCAAGGGAGAATATCAATAGAATTGAACACGAGGATCTCAACCACGAAGATGAGGCAGCCCGCATACGCGACTTTCTAGCCGAAGAACTGCAAAAATTCGAGAATATTAGTGGAGTAGCCACCGTGGGAGAGCACCGGATCATCATGACTGATGAACGTCCCATCAAACAGCGGTACTTCCCGCGCAACCCTGCGATGCAATCTGTAATCGACACGGAAATCGATGAGCTACTCAAGAAAGGATGTATTGAGCCGTCTCGCAGTCCGCACAGTGCGCCGATCGTACTAGCCCGGAAGAAGAACGGCAAGTGGCGCTTATGCGTGGACTACCGGCAGCTCAATGCCCGGTCAGTACCGGACGCATACCCCTTGCCGAGGATACAGCACATACTGGACAAACTGCGCCAGGCAAAGTACATAAGTAGTTTAGACCTCAAGAACGGGTACTGGCAGATACCCCTGGAGCCCAAGAGCCGCCCGTACACAGCCTTCACCGTACCGGGACGCGGCCTGTTTCAGTGGCGCGTCATGCCGTTCGGCCTACATTCCGCCCCCGCCACATTCCAGAGAGCGCTAGACCAAGTCATCGGCCCGGAAATGGAGCCCTACGCGTTTGCCTACCTCGACGACATAATCGTCATAGGCTCCACCTTCGACGAACACGTGGAACACTTGCGGGAGGTACTCCGACGACTACAGCGGGCCAACCTGCGCATTAACCCGGAGAAGTGCGACTTTTTTAAAGGGGAGCTCAGGTACTTGGGCCACATCATTAGTGACAAGGGTATACACACCGACCCCGACAAAGTTGCCGCCATCAAGGAACTAAAACCACCGACCAACGTGAAGGAGGTACGCCAATACCTCGGCATAGCTTCCTGGTATCGCCGGTTCGTACCCGACTTCGCTGCGCTAAGCCAACCACTCACCGCCCTCCTGAAGAAGGGTAAACACTGGAGGTGGGGAACTGAGCAACAGGAAGCGTTCGACGTGATAAAAAGAAAACTCACCGAGGCCCCCATCCTCGCGTGCCCAGACTTCAGCAAGAAATTTACCCTGCAGACGGACGCGAGTAATTTCGGCCTAGGGGCAGTACTCACACAGGAGTTGGAAGGCGGCGAACGAGTAATCGCATACGCAAGTCGGAAACTTAATAAGGCAGAGATCAATTATTCGGCCACGGAAAAGGAATGTTTAGCCATAGTCTGGGGAATACGCAAAATGAGGCCCTATCTAGAAGGATACCGATTCAACGTCATAACCGACCACATGTCACTAAAATGGTTAAATTTGATCGAAAGCCCCTCAGGTCGCATAGCACGATGGGCCCTGGAGTTGCAACAACACGCCTTCGACATCGAGTACCGCAAAGGAAAACTGAACTTAGTCGCGGACGCACTGTCTCGACAGCCACTAGAGACGCTACTACGAACAACAGTGGCGGAACCACGATGCAAGTGGTGGCACAGACGGGTCGAAGAAATGCGTACCAACCCGGAAAAATACGCCGATTACATGATACAGGAGGGGCAGCTCTACCGTCATATCCCGTGTCGATCCCAGGACGAGGAAGCAGTCCCCTGGAAACTGTGTGTGCCCAGCCCCCTCCGTCGACGAGTACTGAGGGAAAACCACGACATACCAAGCTCGGGGCATATGGGTATTCGCCGAACAGTAGCACGGATTGCCAATCGGTATTATTGGCCAGGAATGTTTCGCGACATCAGCCGGTACATCCGTCAATGTGAGTCCTGCCAGAAGTACAAGGAGGCACAACACAAACCAGCCGGCAAGATGCTCTCGCAGGTCGCTCAAGAACCTTTCGCCACGGTGTGTGCCGATTTCATCGGACCCCTACCACGGTCCACGCATGGCAACACCATGCTACTTGTGTTTTTCGACAGATTTAGCAAGTGGGTCGAGTTGGTCCCCATGAGACAGGCCACAGCGGAAGGACTTCGCCGCGCGTTTAGGGAGCGTATCCTCGCCCGATTTGGTATACCCAAAGTCTTCATCTCGGACAATGGTGTACAATTTACTAGCACGCTCTGGCAGCGCTACCTCCAGGAGGTGGGGGTGCGCCAACAATTTACGGCCCCGTATACACCCCAAGAAAACCTGACGGAGCGCGCCAACCGCACTGTAAAGCGAATTATCGCACAGCTTACGAAGACACAACATAGGCGGTGGGATGACCTCCTCCCAGAAATCACACTCGCCGTAAATACGAGCGTCACAGTCTCCACAGGATACAGCCCAGCGTTCCTGGTGCAAGGACGAGAACCACGACTACCAGGAGCACTCTTCGACGAAATAAATATCGGGACTGGCGAAATAGCCCCGACGGCCGAGGAAAAGTTCACAAGGATGCAGGAAGCATTCAGGATCGTCAGACAAAATATGGAACGTGCCACGACCGACCAAGCGCGCCATTATAACCTGCGTCGCCGGGAGTGGAACCCAAAAGTCGGCGAGCTGGTCCTCACCAAAGAACGTCATCTATCTAAGGCAGCAGAGGGGTTTGCGGCAAAACTAGCCCCTAAATATGCCGGTCCCTACCAGATACTCCGATACGTTTCCCCGGTAATCGTGGAGCTACGGAAGACCGACGACGGAAGGACAAGAACGGCGAACCTGGCCGACCTGAAGGCGTACAAGACGGCCGAATCACAACAACTTAGCAGCACGGAAGAGGAGGAAAAGAACCATAAAAGAAATTAAATTAAAGTTCTAACCCCAACGGGAAAAAAAAGAGAAAGGGAATTTAAAATAAAATAAATAAAGTTAGCAAGACCGTCGCATCAGTGGAAACCGTCATTCGATCGTCAACTAGCGGACCAACCACACGTGAATAAACGTAAGAATTTTGTAAAAAGGTAAAAATCAATCAACCATGAACATGGAAGGATTAGACAAGATGGAAAAGAGTGTGAAGCGCTTGCGTGAACGCATAGCCGAGGAAAATGCGAAGCGACCGCGGACCCAGATGCTTGGCGTGGGGCCGAACATAGGCCCACGGGATGCTGCCCGCGCACGCGCCGAAGCCGCCGACGCCGCCGCGATGTACGCGGCACTCACGCACGCTACTGGAGAGACGCGCAACCAGCAGCCAGCAATGGCGGCCCAGTTAGCCGCTAGGCGGACCGCCGTCGCACGCGCTGCCAGCAGACATGCCGTCATCATCCACGCGGAAATGACCCGCGCTCTGTCAGTGCACGCGATCGCCGCTAACGCAGCCGCAAGGTACGCGACCATGGCCAGCATGACGGCGGGCACCCACGCTGAAAATGCCGACACCGCACAGGCTACAACAGCACGCGCCGTCACAGCCCAAGCAACTGCACGACAGACCCTCGCCGCGCGCACGGCCGCCGTACACGCGACAGCGGCGTTCACCAACGCAGCGCGCGCCGCCGACGAAATCACCGGGCGCACCCTAGCCTCTTCCCCATCCTTCAGTCCTTCGGGGGACGACAGGTACAACACCGCCGGGGCAGCCGCCTTCTCGGTGAGGAGGGTAGCTTCAGATCACGACACTAGACACGGGAGCGGAATGGACACGGGCAAGACTGCGTCCACTGGTAGCCCGCCCAACGAAAATACAACAATCGACAGCGCATCGCACACCACCTCATCGGACACCAGCACGACCACCGATAGCCCAACAGGCGAGAGTCCCGCCAGCGATAGACCGGCTAACCAGGACACCGACATGGCGTTGGCCGAACACCTTGAAATCGAGCTATCCTCGGACGAGGAACAACCACCGCAGGCATCGACGGGCCCGCGAGCAATTTTCCCGCCAGGACCAGGCGGAATAGCGCTGTATGAGGCCGACCTGCGGACACTGACAGGACCCTATTGGGTGACAGACACAGTCATCGATGCCTGGGCAAAGGGCCTGGAAGCCACGCTCAACATACGAGGTACCGTACTCAGCCCATTCGTTGTCTGGCAATTGAGCAAACCCGACAGGGGAGAGAATTATCAGCGCATCCACCGGTGGCTACGCCACACCGACCTTTTCGGCCAACGGGTTGTCCTCGCGCCACACAATGTCTCGAACCACTGGTACCTGCTCGCCCTCGCCAACCAGGAGATGACCCACCACATAACAGATAGCGAGTGTTGGCACGACATCAACATTTGGGTGGCCGACTCCAGGAAAGTAGGAAGGGTGACACACGCGGTAGAGGAATGGCGAGAGTTTCTCCGGTGGGAATACCAGCAGCGACATCAGCGGGAGGCCCCCCCACATACGGGAGGTACATCTGGAGGTACCACAGCAGACCAACGATAACGACTGCGGAATATACGTGGTGGAAACTATCGAGAGGGTGCTGAGATACGTCGGACGCGGAGAAGGAGGGCCGGGGTGTATATCAGGCCCGTTCACGGCGACCATGGCGGCGCAAAAACGCGCGCACATGCTGAGGGTATTCCAGCAACCACCGGAGGCAGGGACACCACCGCCACCACCACGACCCACGGAGCCTCCAGAGGCAACAACACCACTACCCTCACCGCCACACACACACCAGTACCACCAGAGGTAGCACCACTGTCAGCGTCACCCCCCCGAACACCAGCACCGACTGAAGCAGTATCACAACCACAATGTTCGTCAACCCCACCAATGGGACAAACGGTAATCCCCGCCGACGAAATCGACGGGCCAGCACTAGACCAGTTCCCGGAGATCGCCGAGAGGGCCCGGAAGGCTATACGCGACATAGCAGAGGGAACCTGCGCGTCCTGTGTGAGGTTCCGCGCGGGAGGATACCGAGTCAACGTATACCGGTGGGGCGCAAGTATAGTTCAGAAACATCCCAAACCTTAAGCCTGCCGAAGAGGGGGGGAAGTGTGAGGACTAAATATCCGCGGAATTTAGCCCACACGAACACAAACC